CATAGTTGCAAACTCGAGCCGGCTAGCACCGAGAGCACCGAGGTGTTGGGAGCCACTGGGAACACCTCGGTGCTCTCGGTGCTAGCCGGCTCGAGTTTGCAACTATGGTTGGATTGCATCAGCCATATCGGTTGGATGTGCGCAGTTACGCTGTGAACATTTTTGGACAATTGTCGGTGTTTTACACCACATTTTCGGTGTTTTACACCATTTTCTTATTATTTCTGTTAATTTACACATGTATACAACTCCGTGGCTTGGTGTCAGAAACCTAATCCACGGTTTTAAATCTATCTTCAAAAAGACGTAGAATGGACTAGCTTTGTAGGTCCACTGAGTCAAAAGAGCACCAAAAACCAAACCATCAGTGCTTTGTTTGATAGTTTGATAGCGATGTAGTGTTTAATATCTGAGGTAAGAATTCTATTTGTAAAACTTTTGTATTTTAACACGTTGATCGCCGTGTCACCCGTATTCGGGTGACGTCAAAAATCCTAATTAGGCCGCGTCACCCGTACTCGGGTGACGCTTATTTGAGTGCTTACAAGGTAGATTGGTAGGTATTTCGAAAGTTATAAATATATCGTCAAATTTTAACTATTCACCACAACTGAAAAATATTTGAAAACGAAGAAATAACTTTCAAATATCACACACTTTCTTAGATACTTCGTTCTTGCAGAAAGATTTTCAACTAATGCCTATTACAAATTTTCCTCCCGTTCGCGACCGGATCGACGTGCTGGAGGCAGTGTCACTAAAAGACTGACGTCTTTTCCATTCCGTGGTCAGATCTCTTGTGCTCACGTTATAACTCGGCTTATACATATTCCGAGTAATCGACAAAACAAGCGGAAGGCTCCTTGTCCTGCACTGAAGCCGCTTCGTACCGCATTTCAAAGCGCTACCGAATCAAAGTCATGCCGATAGATAAAAGTAGCCGCTACCCCCGGCAATAATATTAAGAAGCTTGCCGATGTTGTAGCGTTCGAACTTCAGTCTGAAGAGCGCGCTGTATAGCATCGCGCGTGGTCTGACGGAGATTTTCTTACAAAGTAGCGTGGCAGTCAACGTGTTAAATATGTATAAAGTCTATTTTTGATAATTCAGTGCAATATATTCCATGAATTTAAGTTAGTCATATAAGAAAAAATTAAGTAAGCATTTGGTACGATAGTTAAATTTTATAAGTATAATGATTTATTTAGATGCCAGGAGGAACTGTTTGCAGTGTTGCTAGTTGCAAAAAAAATTCAAAGAAAACGAAGGAAAATAAAGAACGTATAATGTTCTTTACATTTCCTAAAGATTGTACAATTAGGAAAGAATGGATCAAGAAATGTTACAGGAAGGATAAATTCAACCCGGAATATAAAAGAATATGTAGCTTGCATTTTAAACCAGAGGATTATGAAGATGAGCTACAGGCAAGATTAACTGGATCCCAACCAAAAAAACTCAAAAAAACAGGTAAGTAGATAATATTAGTTGTTTACATCTGCTTATATATTTTGTCTTATACTTATTTTGTTTTTCAGCAATTCCTTCATTAAATTTACTCCCATTAGAATACAGAACGGAAGATACGAAAAACAAATCTATGGAATCTGCAAGGATACTTCAAGAATCAAATATAGTAAAAGTTCAACCTGTGGAACAAATTGAGAAAAGTAAAAATACAAATCTTGATAATGTAGAAGTGGAAAGTGAAAGTACAAGTCTTGATAATGTAAGAGTTTTTTCATGCAGCAAAGAATCAGATAATCTTGCAATTAAAAAAGAGTTAGAAATAATGCATCAAGAAAATGAAATTTTAAAACAAAAAAGTACAGAATTAGAGTCTACACTTAAAAAAGAATTGGAAATACTACAACAAGAAAATCAAATATTAACACAAAACAATAGTGAACTTTACAAAAAAAAATAAAGAATTAGAGTCTACACTTAAAAAAGAATTGGAAATACTACAGGAAAAAAATCAAATATTGATACAAAAACTTGAAAACCAATTAAAAGAAGAAAACATTAAATTTGAAGAGAAACTAAAGGTAGCGTTGAAAGATTTATTTACACCAAATAAAGTGGAAATTCTTTTAAAGAAAAAAAGTAAAGCACGATGGACTGTGGAGGAGTTATCTAAAGCATTTACAGTGAGATATTTTAGTAAACGTTGCTATATATATTTAAGGAAAACATTGCATTATCCGTTACTTGGATTATCATCTTTGCAACAATGAACTAGTAATATAAGTTTAAGAAGCGGATGTTTAGAGAATGTACTATGAATTATGAATACGGCTGGCAAAGTTAAAAATGATATTAATTGAACCACAATTTTATGTTTTGATTAAATGAAAGTTGCATCAATGTATGAATATGATCAAACAAATGATGAAAAAAAACAAATGATGTTGGTTTACATTCTTACATGCAAGTAATAATGGCGAGAAGATTGTTCGATAAGTGGAAGCAGCCTATGTATATAGGATTTGACCAGAAAGTGACTAAAAGCTTATTAGAAAATGTAATCACAAAATTACATGAAAACAATTACAACGTTGTCGCCTGCACATCAAATTGTGATAGTAGCAATCAAAGTTTGTGGAAAGAATTCAACATCAATATCGACAATACATCAATAGAACATCCTGCAACAAAGAATCGCATTTATGTTTTTGCGGATGTTCCACATTTGTTAAAACTACTAAGGAACTGGTTTTTGGACAATGGTTTTATTTTAAGCAACGGAGAAGTACTGAACAAGAATCCAGTAAAAACATTATTAGAAATGATTAGAACAGAGATCAATTCATGTTACAAGTTAAGACAGTTACACTTGAAATGTGAAAAGGCACAAAGACAAAATGTAAGATTAGCAGCACAGTTATTTTCTAATACTATAGCTACCGCTTTAAAACAGTATTTGCCAGGTGAAGATCAAAGTTGTGCACGAAATGTGGGAGAGTTTTTTCAATTAGTCAATACTTGGTTTGATATAATGAATTCATATACACCAATAACAAACATTCCTTCCAAAAAACCATATGGATTGAATATAGATTTTCAGAATAAAGCTCTAAATGATATGTTAATGACTATCAGTGGCAAGTTATGTGTAGGAAAAACAACTATGCAAGTCTTCCAAAAAGGCATAATTATATCAACAAAATCGCTTATGAGTTTATTCGAAGAGCTTAAAAGGAAATTAGATATCAAATATATTTTAACTCATCGTCTAAACCAAGACTGTTTAGAAAATCTGTTTTCTCAGGTATTGTCGTAATTACATCTGTACATCGATACCTTATAATACAACATATGACAAAGTAGGAAAAATAGAATTTCTATTGTTTTTTATTTTTATTCATGTTTGCAATATTGTTATTTCTATTCCCCTCTAAAATTTCAATTTGTCGAATACTTGTTATTAGTATGAAAATATTGATATCAAAATATTAAATATTAAATATTATGTTATTTTTATAATATGATTTGTCATTTTTAGTTAAGAACTCGAAGAGGGCTCTATGATCATTCGTCACCTTTACATGCACTGTACAGGATTTGAATGATTCTGCTAGGAAAAAATCCGGGGATAGTACAGACTCATTCAAATGTAGAGTCATCTGAATTAGAGCCTCACCTGAATTAGAGCAGGACGAATATTTATTAGCCACTGCATTAAAGCAGGCACGTATTGTGAACATACAGTTGTCGGAGCCTAAAAAAATATCGAATGTTCCTGAAAGCGAAAATAGCGGTAGTTCTGGCAGTTCTACTACGTCACTCTCATCAGATAAAGATGCATCAGAAAAAGATGGATTGATATATTGTAGTAATCGATACATCGATATCGTTACTACTATCGAACGTCATCTTAGCAACCGATATACACAATCATTCAATTATTCTCAACAACGATTCTTTTGTTCAATTATGTATCTTCATTCATTCCAAGTCCATTCCTGTTTCCATTCACACGTTCAATAAACCGACTCAAGTTTTGTAAAAGAACGAAGTTTAATTTATTTCGTGAGTGAACAAACAGTTTTTGGCGACGAGGATTATGGAAGGTCTCCGTGAGATATTAACGCCGTTGATGCAGCAGCAACAGCAGCAGTTTCAGCAGTTGATGCAGCAGCAGTTTTATGCCCAGCAGCAGGAATTTGCGAGCCACATCGCCAAGATTCTCAAGGCTCCTTCATCCGCACCTACAGGCCTGGAAATTAAAATGGATGCGTTAGCCAATTCAATCACAGAATTTATTTACGATCCGGAGAATGGTTTGACTTTCGATGCATGGTATGTACGTTACCGAGGATTATTTTCCGTTGATGCCCAAGCATTGGACGACTTAGCAAAGGTCAGACTACTCCTACGTAAATTAAGCATGACAGTTCACACGAAGTATGTTAACTACATCTTGCCAAAAGAATATACAGATTTCGATTTNGCAAATACAGTAAAAAATCTTACCGACATGTTTGGAAAGAAAATATCGCGTTTTCATCAGCGATATAATTGCCTTAATGCGTCGAAATCAGATCAACACGATTTCTTAACATATGCTGGTTTGGTTAACAAACGGTGTGAAGAATTTCAGATCTCGACAACTACTGCAGATCAGTTTAAATGTTTAATGTTTATTTGTGGACTACGTTCTGCATCAGATACTGACATTAGAACCAAGTTATTACACTTAATTGATATTAAGTCAGACTCGCTTACCGTTCAAGATTTAGCCGTCGAATGTCAACGAATGGTGAATCTTAAACAGGATAATTCGATGGTGCAAAATCAAACCACAGACGTTGGGACGGTTGCTCTTGTGCAATCTAAAAATTTCCGTTCAAAAAGGAAGTTTAAAAACGGACAGAAGGAGCAGGGTAAATTTAACAAAAACAAAAAAAATTTATCTGACAAAAAACCTTCGACACCTTGCTGGTTTTGCAGTAACTTACATTTCTCCAAAGACTGTACTTTTAAAACACACAAGTGTCAAAAATGTAAAGTTGTCGGTCATAGAGATGGTTATTGTGCGTCCAGTAAGAAAGTTAAACCCAAGTGGTGATAAAAGCTCTGAAAAAAGCGTCAAGACAATTCATTCAGTCAATCAGATTTTAATTGGTTCGAGTCGGAAATATATTGATATTTTAATTAATTCAAAGCCTGTAAAGCTTCAATTAGACACGGGTTCTGATCTAACTATTATTTCAAATCAAACATGGATTGATCTCGACAAGCCTTCAGGAACGATCACTTTGCATGTTGCTCGGGATGCATCCAGCAATTCAATTCATTTCACTCAAGAGTTTACCTGTACAGTAACTTTTCAGGAAGTCACCAAGCAGCTTCAATGTTTTGTAACTTCAAATCCAGCTTTGAATATAATGGGGTTGGATTGGATCTCTGCATTTAATCTGTGGGATCAATCATTGAACACTTTTTGCCATTTAGTCAATGTCAATAAATCGCAATTCGATATCACCGAATTTCAGCGCAGATTTCAGGATGTCTTTGCAAGCGGTTTGGAACGTTGCACAAAAGCAAAGGTCAAACTTTATTTAAAACCAGATGCTAAGCCGATTTTCAAGCCGAAGCGCCCAGTCGCTTATGCAATTTTGCCGCAAGTCGATGCTGAGCTCGATCGTCTCGAGCAAAATGGAATTATATTACCCATCAAATATTCAGAGTGGGCGACACCGATTGTTGTGGTACGCAAAAAGAATGGCTTGATTAGGATTTGTGCAGATTTTTCAACGGGACTTAATGCTTCTCTGGAACCTAATCGTCATCCACTTCCTTTGCCAGATGAAATATTTTTACAGCTGTCAAATTGCAAATATTTCAGTCACTTAGATTTGGCAGACGCCTTTTTGCAGATTGAGATTGATGATGAATCAAAGAAATTTCTTACAATCAATACTCACCGCGGTTTTTACGTATACAATCGTATGCCTTTTGGGGTCATTGTAGCTCCTGGAGAGTTTCAAGCCATTATGGACTCCATGATTTCTGGCTTACCAAATGTTTTTGCTTACATTGACGACTTAGTTGTTGGTGGAGAAACAATTTTGCAGCATAATCGCAATTTAACACGTCTTTTAGAGCGTATTCAAGATTATGGCTTTCGACTACGATTTGAAAAGTGTACCTTTTTCACAGAAAAGATCAATTATCTTGGTTACGTCATTGATGGGCAAGGATTACATCCAGATCCGAAAAAAGTTTCTGCCATCATAGATATGCCAGCACCAAAGAATTTAAATACCTTACGGTCTTTCTTGGGAGCANTTAATTATTATTCTCGATTTATTCTCAATATGCACATTTTGCGACGTCCGTTGGACAATTTGCTTAAGAAGGATGTACCATGGTCATGGTCTTCACGTTGTCAGAAGTCTTTCGAACAATTCAAGAAGATTTTGACATCTAATCTGTTGCTCACTCATTACAATCCAAAGTATGAAATCATTGTGGCAGCAGATGCTTCAAACGAAGGTCTGGGAGCTTGCATTTTACATCGTTTTCCAGATCAAACAGTCAGTCATGCTGCTAGAAGTCTTACTCCTGTGGAACAGAATTACAGTCAAATCGAAAAAGAAGCTTTAGCAATTATGTTTGCCATTACGAAATTTCATCGAATGATTTTTGGAAGGCATTTTACTTTACAAACGGATCACAAACCGTTATTACAAATTTTTGGAAACAAAAAGGGGATTTCTGTTCATTCAGCGAATCGTTTGCAGCGATGGGCTTTGCAGTTACTGTCTTACGATTTTCAGATCGAGTGCATTAAAACTACAGAATTTGGACATGCTGATGTATTGTCCAGACTCATTGATCAGCAGAATCGCCCTGAAGAGGATTTTGTTATTGCTTCTATTCAATTGAAGGATGATTTATCTTTGACTTTGCAAGAGTCATTACAAACGGGGCCAGTTGCGCCGATTACCTTTCAACAGATTCAAGAGGCAACTAAGAAGAGTGATATTCTTCAGGAAGTAATTAAATATACTCTTACCTCATAGCCTCAGACTGTAGAAGAGTTGTCTTTGCAGTCTTATTTTCGTAGACGCCATTCATTGTCGGTAGTCCAAGGCTGTCTTTCTTTCAATGACAGAATCGTGATGCCGTCTTGTTTTCGTTCACGGGTTCTTCGACAGATTCACAAGGGTCATCCTGGAATAGAACAAATGAAGATTTTGGCACGTTCATATGTATATTGGCCGAAAATAGATGCGGACATTGAACAATTTGTTAAGCGTTGCAGAAATTGTGCACTCACCGCAAAGGCTCCTGTTAAGGTTTCTTTATGTAGCTGGACTCAGCCAGCAGCACCTTGGCAGAGAGTGCATATTGATTATGACGGTCCATTAAATGGAGAATACTTTTTTGTTCTGGTGGACGCTTACTCCAAATGGCCAAAAGTCATACCGACACAATCAATTTCTGCACAGCAAACAATTAGTATACTTCAAAGTATTTTTGCTCGCTTCGCTGCAATACCTAAAACAATTGTTTCAGATAATGGAACTCAGTTTATATCAGAGAAGTTTCAATCTTATTGTTTATTAAATGGAATACAACACTTACGCAGCCCACCTTTTCATCCTAGCTCAAATGGGCAGGCTGAGCGTTTCGTGGATACTTTCAAGCGTGGACTTGCTAAACTACAAGCTGGGGAAAATAGTAGCAATCTTTCGTCAATGGATTTTCTTTCTGTTTTCCTACAGTGTTATAGGTCCATTCCAAATCCAAATGTTCCTAACAAGTTGTCTCCGGCTGAAGCACTGATGGGTAGACGAATACGGACATCATTGGATTTATTGAAATCTTCTTCTTGTCAAGTATCTACAAATGAGAAACAGCTCAAGCAAGAGATGCAGTATAATCGAAAACACGGAGCAAGAAATAAAGTTTTTGCTTCGGGTACGCAAGTTTTTGTTCAGGTTCATGCAACTAATAAATGGTCGTGGATACCTGGGAAAATCATCGAGCGGGTTGGCAAAGTTCTGTATAATGTGCTTGTTCAAACACAAAGTTGGCTGGTTCGTGCACACGCCAATAAACTAAAGTTTAGGCACGGTGACGAAGATGAAAAAGAACTTCCCGTGGAAATTCTCATCAATGTCTTCGATCTCACAGACACTATACAACAGCAAACATTACAAGAAACACAGCAAGTAGTTACACGCTACGAAGGGGAACAAGAAGCTGATCCAGTTTCAGCTGTTTCTACACAACAGCAAGTTCGGTTCGGTTCGGTGTGATGTTGGCTAGAGAGCCCTAGATACCCATACGCCATTCTTCGGGTAAAAAAAACCAATAGAAAGACATGTTAGAAAAGTGAGAAACTATGATGCAACAGAAAAGCCGCGAATGAGTGTGCGTGCAAGAAGGCAATCAGCCAATGAAGGAAAGTGAAAGAGAGAAAAGCTGTGCCCGGATTTGCCCGAGTAAAAGCAAAGGAAGTACAAGAGGAGATCACAGGCGTAATTGCGCGTCTACGACAAAGCTATATAATGCTTTATAGATGTCAGCGTTGTCGGAAAAGGCAAGGTCCACAATACTGAGGTTACAGGTAGGATCTATGCGGTGGAGTTTGCTGATTAGGGCATCGGAGTCGTCTCGATGAAGAGGGCAGTGAAAAAAGACGTGGTCAGCATCCTGCAATCGGTGTTCGCATGGGCAGTCGAAGGAGGCGACAATCCCCTTGGAAGCCAAGAAGGCGCCTACGCAAATGTGTCGTCCGCAGTCTAGAGATAAGCTTAATAACAGGAGCAGGCATGGTATGTCGATGATCCAAGTACCAAGGTGGAGAGAGAATGTTCCTTTTTTTGTTAAAATAGGTGACTCCTTTAACTGTGCTCTCAGTTAGAATTTTTCTCACTGATTCTGTTAGTGCCTCGGCGCGAAAGCGGTATAGATTCCGATAATGGCACTTGGCCGTTAGAAAGGGATCAGGAGAAAGCAGAGCGCGTTTGGCAGCCCGATCCGCAGATTCATTTCCCTCGATGTTCATATGGCTGGGTAACCAGACAAAGCGAATTCGAAGATTCCTAGAGAGGCAATTCTTGTATAGGGTCTTGATTTCGTAAATGCACGATGCGTTGTTTTCGTGAGGATCCGAATTCTTCAAGCAGATAAGCACACTTAGGGAGTCCGAAGCAACAATGGTGTCAGTCCAAGAGTGATCCAGAGCAAATCGGACAGCCCGACCAACGGCAAGTGCCTCAGATTCGAAGATAGATAAATGATTATTTATTTGTTTAGCCAAGGTGTACTGAGGATTCAGGGACACCAGAGCATAGGAAGTTCGTTCGGCCAGGCCATAGCATTTTCTGGATCCGTCAGTGTAAAGTACATGGGAAACGACAGAGTTTAGTATAAATTCGTTCCAAGAGCCGGCAGGATCATCGGAGTTGCGTACCGCGAGGCCGCACTCGGTGTCCACAGGAATCTCCAGGAATCGAACGTTGAAGGGATAATTAAGATAACCTGGAAGAGAAAAGGTTTTGATTTGGCGAAAAAAGATTTTTTGAGTATTAAAAACTAGCAATATATGGCCCAGTTCGTCTCTCCAATCGTCAACAAATAGTCGCGTGGAGTGGGAGAGCACGCTCAAGAGCGGATGATTGTGCCGTGCGAGAACTTTGCATAAAAACTTTTTGGTAAGGTGACGAAAGCGATATGACAGAGGAAATTCGCCATTAATTTCGAGAAGAACGTTTGTGGGCGTTGTACGCATGAGAGCAAGAGGGATGCAAAGGCAAGCAAATTGCAGCCTATCCAGCTTGCCTTGCTCAACGCCCGGAAGAGGGGAGAAAATCTGAGTCCCAATCAAAAACCGACCTGACAAAGCCCTTGTACACGTTGAGAAGCAAAAGGGGATGTATTCTCCATTTGATGCCGGCAAAAGCCTTTATAACGTTAATGCGAGGCCAGACACGCCTACGAACAGAATCAACGTAAGCCCTCCAGGTTAGATTGGCGTCGAGAACCACCCCCAGAAAACTGGGGGTCCAGTTAAGTTCCAGGGGAACGTTATCGATGCAAATCGCGATCCTCTGCTCTCGAAGGAGAACACGAAGATAACGCGGTCTGAGAGCGGAAAAGAAGGTATAGCATGACTTCTCAGAAGAGACTCTCAGACCTAAATCCAGTAAATAGAAACGTAGATTCTCAAGCGCTCGCTCCAACCGACCAGCAATATAATTGAGGGTCTTATGAAAGCAATAAATGGCTATGTCGTCGGCATACATGACAATGTGCACTGTGGCTGGTAAGCATTTATCGATGAAGGAAAGATAAATGTTGAACAGCAAAGGGATCAAAATTGAGCCCTGAGGAAGACCACGCGAAGTCGGACGCGACTGGATGGGGACTCCGGACAAAAAACCCTGCAAATGACGATAGCTAATAATAGAGGCAATAAAGTTGATAATTTTTGGCGGGAGGTGATATTTTTTTAGAAAAAATAAAAGGATACTCGGAACAACGCAATCAAAGGCCCCGACAAGGTCCAGAAAAACAACACCTGTTGCCAAACCGTCGAGGTTAGCAATTCTTATATGTGATGTAAGAGTTGCAATGTTATCAGTGCAAGAAAGGCCCTTGCGGAAGCCAAACTGATAGGTCGGGATAATATGGTTATTTTCGGCCCACCATTCCAACCTCTTATAAATAATCTTTTCTAGAACTTTGAGCAAATTATTAGCGAGTGAGATAGGTCGAAGAGCACCTTTTTTCCCCGGTTTGGGAATGAAAACGACAAAATAATTACGCCATTGGCAAGGGAACTGAGAAGAAATAAGCATATAATTGAATAAATTTAGGATTGCCATATGAAGATCCCTGGGCAGCTCCGAGATAATTTTGTTGGAAATAAGATCGGGACCAGAGGCCGATTTGGTCTTCAAAGATGAAATTATTGAGAAATACTCAGTTTCGGATATATTGGATGTTAAGTAAGACGTGTCGTTTGAGAAAGATGGGGGGAATAGCTCGTCGCCAAATACTGCAAAGTCGATGTTAGGAGGAGAATAATTTACAGGCGCAATTTTGTCATAAGCCTCGTAAAATTTTGTTTCAGAAATATTGTTGCGATTTGACTCATCCCGGGCAGCTTGTCGGGCAGAAGTAAATGCTCGAACAGTTCCCCATACTTTATTAAGATCCGAAGTCGCAGAGAGTGAGGAACAAAACTCACGAAAGGCCTCCCTCTTGCGACGTCGAATGGTTTGATTGCCTCCCGGGCAGCATCAAGATAAGCCTGAAAAGAAGCGATAGAAGGACAAGACTTAAAAAGCCGAAAAAGACGTCGCTTGTTTCGAATAACCCGCATGCATGAGTCGTTCCACCACACTATAGGCGGTTTCCGGCGATGCCTCAGGTATTTTCGTACTTTAGCTCCTGTATCAATAAGAGCATTAGTAATGAGCGAAATTAAACTTTCATAAGCAGCATCAACACTGTCAAAGACAGGAGGCTGTAAAGAAGAAAGAGTGTCAAGGCAGCGATCCCAAAAGAGGCTCCAATCGACGTCAACAGTGGAGATAGACGAGCGCCCGGGAACACTTCTATAAAAGACATCGGAAATAGAAATGAGAATGGGAAAGTGATCGCTATCGTAGGAGTAATCAAGAACGTTCCAGGAGCATTTATTAGATAAAGAGGGTTCGACAAAAGTGAGGTCGAGAGCGGGAGAGGCGGACAGGTCGCGAGAGGACCAAGTGTCTACGCCAGAGTTTATACATATCCAGTCGGATGACAGGAGAGCACTCTCTATCCTCGATCTCTTTGCGTCGGACACCTCACGACTCTGAGACCATAGAGGGCTCTTAGTGTTAAAGTTACCGCAAATAATAGCTGGTTGGAAGGCGGAACAAATATCGAAGAACCTCTCCCAGAATCCTTGTCCAGTAAATGAGCCGCTTCTTCTAGAAGGACTGTAAATAGAGATGATATATAAGAAAGAATTAGGGTTTAACATAACCTTTACAACGATCACCTCGCACGCATTCTCGCTACACACATGTTGTAGCCGATCGTGCGAGAGTAATTCAAATTTAAACGTTTTTTCAAGGAGAATAGCCACTCCTCCACCAAAACGGTTCCGATCCTTAGAAACAATGGAATAGTTAGCAAAGTTCACGACAGATTGCGGCGAGAGGTGAGTCTCGCAAAGAGTAGTTATGTTAATTTTATATTTCTTTAAGAGAAAATTTAAATCACACACACAGCAAATCGAGGAAAGAGGGCTCTACAGTTCCATTGCAGAATTTTTAAAGGTAACATATGCTCAGTAATGATAACAAGAGTGTTATAAAAGGAAAATTAGATTTCAAGAGAAGATTACCTCGAAGATAGAAGAGATGAGATTATAACTCACTGTATCCGGGAGATGTATGTCTGTAGCGAATTTTTCTGTATATTTTGATTTAACACGCTGAAGAAGATCGGCGGAAACAAACGGAGCCACACTGCTCTCGGCTGAAATAATAGGGTTAACATTAGCGGGACAAACGAATCGAGAAGCTACATTGGCCTTAGGCCTATTACGATGCTTTAGGGAGTCTGAAACAGTATTCGAGGGGGAATTGTTATGAGAGGGAAACATAGTAGGGAGAGGAGTGGTGCAAGCGGGTTTAGATCGAGGAGAGAGTGGCGGTAACGGTATAATTGGGGGCCAGCTAGGGCCCCGACGTGCGCGATGTACGGGTATCTCCACTGGCGGATGTTTCGATGATGGTGCGGCCGTAACGTCGGCATAAGACGGAGCCGTCATACGAGGTGGCAGAAAGTCACCCAAAGTAGGGTTAGGGGCCGCGCGAGAATATCGGGTCCATCTCCGGCCAGGAACACCTCCGCATTCAATGTATATCTCCTCGGCTACCGGTCGTAGGACGTTAAATCTGATCATAATCATCCGAATGCCCTTTTCCCTCAGGAAGGATGGACAGGTGCTAGCGGAGGCCTCATGGTCTCCACTCGGTCCAGTTGGGCTCTGATGCAGTTGATACATCGCGAAGGACCAGTGCACACGGACTTGGCGTGTCCTTTCTCACTGCATCTCTCACAAATGATCCTATGAGGGGCCGTACCCGACCTGCAGTATTGTGCCAGATGTCCGAAGCGTTGACAGGCATTGCATCTGCGGACCCTAGGAACCAACGGGTCAAGAAAGACGCGTTTGCTCATAAAGATCAGGGAGGTGGGAATGTAAACTGTTTTAAACTTAGCTATATATAAGTCTGTATCAATGTAAGCA